ATTTCACAGTCACACTGTATCTGTGGATGCAAGGAAGGATGGATGAGGGAATACCATCGAAGTTCCCTCTGCTATTGGGCATCGCTGAAAGTCTGAAAAAAAATTTCCAATGGATCTAACTTGTCTGCTGAGTTACAGGATCGCAGCATGTTAGCCACACTGTGTCCCTTATGGAGGCCATGGAATCTGTTTGCTTGCCATCCCAAGCCACAAGAGGCCACCTGGGTTCCTTGCTCATGACCACTTTTTATTACCTGCTTGTTGCCCTTTGTTTAAGCATTCACTTATTGAGAAACACTTGAGTCAATTTGAGTTCAATTTTGAATAGTCATATTTGGATCTTACATGGCAGAAGTTCTCATTTGTCTAGGACAAATTCCCAAGATGACAACTGCTAAGTCAGATAATAATTGCATATTTAATTTTAAAAGAAGCTGCCCAATGATTTTCCAGAATCACTGCCGGCAGTGTATGAGGGATCCATCTTCTCTGTCCTGGTGCCAGAATTCAGTTTTGTAACATTAACTACACAGTAGTGCTGTCTCATTTGCATTTCCTCTGTAGCAAACGATTTAAAGACCTTTATAAACAGAATGAAGTTACATGTGTGGGTGTTTTGGCAGCTTGTGTTCCTAGTGCCCTTGGAGGCTAGAAGAAGGTATGAGAGCCCCTGAAACTGGAGCTGTAATTAAGGGTTGTGAGCTGCCATGTGGGTGCTGGGAATTGAACCTGGGTCCTCTGGAAGAGCAGCCAGTGCTCTTAACCACTGAGCCAGCACACCAACTCCAATTTAAACATCTTTTCATGTGCGTCTTGTCCTCTTTGTGTTTCCATTGGTGAAATATCTCTTCACGCCCTTTCATTTTATCTTTTAGTTATTTCCTGATTTTAAGATTTGAGTGTTCTTTATGTATTCTAGACAGCCTCCTTTGTGAGATAATGGCTAAGATCCATCTTAAGTTCATTGTTATGTAATATGAGAAGTTTAGGTTGAGATTTATTTCTCCTGCACAGACCAAACTGTTCCACTGTTGTTTTAAAGTCTATCCTTTACTGAATTGCTTTGTATCTTTGTCAAATCAAACTTGAGGGTATTTGAGTGGTTCCGTCTCTGAGATCTTTAATTTTGCCTTTTGATCTGTGTATCTGTATCTTTGCTGATACCACACATTGCAATCTTAATGACTGTAAGTCTTGGGATGTGTGGATTGGTTCCTCTGCTCTTACCCTTTTAAAAACACTGACTTTTTATTATTGGGGCAGCAAATGCCATGGCAGCCTTGTGGGGGTCTGAGGACAGCTTTGTGGCATTGGCTTTCTCCTCTCACCTCTCCATGGGTTCTGGGGAGCTCATCATCTTAGGCAGCAGGCACTTGACTGCCTGAGTCATCTCATGACCTGCTCTCTTTCAAGCTGGTTTCAGTTGGGGTTTGTGGGTTTTGCTCAGTGATACAGTACATGTTTATGATATGACATTCACAAGATCCTGGGTTTAAATACTAGCACGAACATACATACATACAAATTCACAGACCATATAGCTACACACAGACACACAAATACATACACTGCACAGACACAGATAGACACATAAATACACACATACACAGACACACCACACAGATACACACCCATACACAGTCACACAGAGTTTTAGTTATTCTAGTTCATAATCTTTATTTTCTTTTTTTAAATAATGAAACAGGTCTAACTCTATAGCAGCCTGGAACTCATTACATAGCCCAGGCTTGTTTCTAGCATAATCTTCCTACCTCAGCGTTAGACTGCTGAGATTATGGATGTGAGTGACCATGCCTAACTGTTCCATAGCCTGGGGGTGGGAGAGGGTGTTGCCATAAGTTTGAGATCAGGCCAAGCTACATAATGAGCTCCAGGCCAACCTTGGCTTCATAGTGAGATCCTGTCTCAAAAGACTAAAATCACATCATTTGAAGAAAAATGGATGAAACATGAGATCATTATGCTGAGCAGGGTAATTGAGACTCAGACACATGTTATTTTCCCTCATATGCAGAGTCTAGGGTTGTTTATTCATTTTAAGTAATGAGACATGAAGGTAGAAGGGTGGCTTTTTGTGAAGGAAAAGTGGACTACTAGAAGCAGGGAGGGAAACAGAATAAGGTGGGGTGGGTATGATCAAGAATGTGCTGTGACATTTGAGAGGGTTTAGTTTTTCATTTTTTGTTGTTGTTTGGTTTTTCAAAACAGGGTTTCTCTGTGTAGCCCTGGCTGTCCTGGAACTCACTTTGTAGACCATGGTGGCCTCAGACTCACAGAGACCTGCCTGCCTCTGCCTCTGCCTCCTGAATGCTGGGGTTAAAGGCGTATGCTACCACCACCCAGCAGGCATTTGAGAGTTTTATACAATGAACATAAGCTAGTAACAAAACTACGAACTGAAAAAAAGAAAAGATAAGGAAGTTAGGGCTAGAAAGCCAAGAATCCCCCCTGTGGGTGTCCCGGGTCTTTCCTCCCAGGCAGAGATTAAGAATGAGATGAAGGTTCATCACCAGGGTCCTGTGTTAGATAAGAGGCAAGGCAAAACATCCAGCCAGACAGGGTGTTTCAGGGGCAGCCCTCCTCCCTCGTGTGCACAGCCTTGATGCTTGATACCAAACAGCAGATGCCAATCTGGAAGCAGAAACAGAGCTTCACTCTGTCTGCCATGACATTGATGCCATCACTGTGCCGGTAACAGCAGAGGAGCAGATGCTGGCACTGAAAGAGGGCCTGTGAAAGGGAAAAGAATGGTGGCATAGTGTACCCAGGAGCCACCTGCAAGGCCAAGCTTTGGCTGCCTGAAGCCCTTAGTGCAGGTGAGGCTGTGCTGGCCGTTTTTGTTCTTGCAGACTGTAGTGCCACTGTGTGTGTACCCTAAACACATTGTCTTTATCCATGTGAGCACGTGGGCACTTTTTCCTGTGCCCCATGTGGGTTCTTGGGCTTGCAGTTTCCAGGAGTGGGGAGGGCCGGGGCTCTCAGCTGTCCTGCTATCCCTCTTTGCTGGACTGTGTTCACAGTGGACCCTCGTCAGAGCTTTCCACCTGGCTGCTGATGCCCCATTTGGCCTTGTTGGTCACAAATTAATGTGTTCCGGTGCCCAAGGATGGCAGAAGCGGAAGAGAGACGTGATGAGAAACTGCCCAGCACCTGAGTGGATTTGCAGTGACGAAGTGGGAGGCTCAGATTTTTCAGGTTGCATAAGATAACATAGTCTAGGGCTGAGTCAAGGTCAGTCTGGCATCAAGGTTATCATCTAGACTCATAAGGAACTCAATAGTAAGTCAGTTAATAAACTGATTGAAAATGGACAGTAAAATTAGACATTTCTCAAAAGTACATGATACCAATGGCCAGCAAGAATGTGAAGCAGTATTCAGCACCATTAATCATTCCAGCAAAATAAAACCAAAATAAGATTATCATCTTATTCCAGACTGGGCGTGTAGTTCAATAGGAGAACACTTACCTAAGATATGTAAACCCCGGGGGCTTCATCCCTAGGACAACAGTAAAAGTGGTTTTCATTAAAAAGTTAAAAATAACAAACCAAATGCTGGTACACACTATTACTGAGAATGCTATTATAATCCTATGGAAAGCAGTGTGGAGCTTCCTCAAAAAGTCCAAAGTGCAGTTATCATATGACTTGGCTATCCCACCACTGGTTATATAATACATCCGAAGGAAAATTAAATCACTATGTTGAGACATCTGCTGCACTGTTTATAGAAACCAAGATGTAGAAATAACCTAAATGTCCATCAACTGATAAATAGATAAAAGTAACTATACACAATGGGATATTTTTCAGCCATAAAAGGCAGACATGGGTGATCTGGAAGATATTATGTTAAGTGAAATAAACAAGACCCAGAAAGACAAATATCACACAGTCTCACTCATAGGTGGAACATCAAAGCGTTGACCTCATGCATGTTTAGAATGGAATGACAATGGTAACTTGAGGCTGGAAAGAATAGTGGGTACAAAGAGAGGACAGTGGGTGCAGAGAGAGGACAGAGCAAAGACAGGTTTACAACTACTAAGTTATAGTTAGATAGCAGAGCATATTCTGGTGTCCTATTGCACAGAAGACTGACTACAGAAGAAAAACTTATATTTCAAAAGGTCCAGAGCATTATATATTTAAAGGCTTTGAGTTAAAAAGAAATGATAAATGTTTGAGATAGATAGAGTTGCTTTTATTTGAAGTAACACATCGCATACATGTGTTAAAGCGCCACATAGCTACCCATATATACAATGGGTACATTTTTTAATATGTCCATTAAAAGGAATAGGGCCAGTGGGATGGCTCACCAAATAAAGATGCTTACATGAAAACCTGATGGCCCAAGTTTGAACCTGACTCCCATTGGTGGAAGAAGAGGATCTTAAAGTCCTCTGACATGGGTATATACCCATGGCATATGTACATCCACATTCATACATGTACATGTCATACATACACACTAAAATAAAATTATAAAATAAAAAGCATAACCATGAACAAATAATAACTACCTCTGGTTTGTTTGTTACTTATGTAATGGGAAAAATAATGGTCATGAAAAGCCAGGCATAGTGGTGCACGTCTTTAATTCCAGCACTTAGGATGCAGACAGGTGGATCTCTAAGTTTAAGGCCATCCTGGTCTACAGAAGGAATTACAGGACAGTTAGGACTAAACAAAGACACTCTGTCTTCAAAAAAAAAAAAAAAAAAAAAAAAAAAAGAAAAAAGAAAAAAAAAGAAAGAAAGAAAGAAAAGAAGAAAATTGAGCTAACTGTGTAACTCTAGCAATGACCTATTTAGAGTATGAGCAATGCTCACTAAAGCTTAGCCATTATTACTACAAATATGCCCTGCTAAACCAAGGAGAGTAAACTTTAGCATTGTACAAGTGTGATGAATCTGAAGCTATGCCAGCTCTCACTGTCACTCAGAGGTCAGCTTTGCTCTCAATTTCATCCCAGGTGGAGTGGCCGTGCTGCCTGCCCCACAGAACTTAACTGTACTGTCAACCAACATGAAACATCTCTTAATGTGGAACCCAGTGGCCCAGCCCATGGAGACAGTGTTCTATTCTGTGGAGTACCAGGGGTGAGTTTGCCTTGTCTAATACTTTTCCTTCCTAAGAGGGATAGCCCTTCCTTCTCTGCTCCAGGAGGCTTTGGCACTCAAGAATAGATGTTCTTCCCAGCCCACCTCTTGATGTGAATAGACATGGGAGGGCTAAATACATTTTGTTGTACCTGTTTTCAACAACTGTCTGTTGAGCTTGGCCCTGATTTGGAATGGACAAATCTAGAGAGCCTCTCCCTTTGGGGTACAGGAGGCCACAGTTTTCTTGACTATGAGTGTATATCTAGAGGCCCACACAAGTCTTGACCCTAAAGGTCAACTCACCCTGGGGTGAGCCTGGTTTTAGTTTTCTCCAGCTGTCCAGGCACTTGCAGTTGCTGAGAAGTGGCTGGTGGAGTTGGTGCTCAGCACATTTCATTAGCAATGAGCATAAACAGAGCTCTCTCTACCTGTGGAGACATTCTTCTACGCTCAAGGATATAGAGGTGTGCACTTCTATAGGGAAACTAGCAGGGTGGGTCATGACCCCTCTGCTCGAAAATCAGATATTTACATTACGATTCATAACAGCAGCAAAATGTACAGTTATAAAGTAGCAACAAAATAACTTTATGGTTGGGGTCACCATAACATGAGGAAACATATTCAAGGGTCACAGCGTTAGGAAGGTTGAGAACCACTGGACTAGAAAAAGAGATACTAAATACACTGGGCATGCACTCTTCAGTTTTGCAGCACTAGTTGCTAGCAGCTATTTAAGTTTAATTGTATTGAAACACATTTTGAGCCCATTTTTCCTTTTTTACATGCTCTGTAGCCACAAATAGCTGGTGACCACCTCCTCTGAGCAGCAGGAGGCCAAACCTTTCCATCATCACAAGGAGTGAATGGGCAGCAGAGCTCTGAGCCCGATGCAAGGTTTTGAGCCCTAGTAGGAAGCTGTGAAGGCTGATGCAATGGAGTTGAATTTGCGCTGCTTTGTCCTAGGCGGTGGCCTCTGGAGGAGGTGATATTTATACCCTACCTGTGGGATAGCAGAGGCAGAACTTTTGAGACAGTGACCATCTAGTCAGAGGCCCAAGGCAAAAAGAGACCAGCATTTTGAAGGGGAGAGCCACAGGTCAGAGTCTCACAGGAAGCCATTAGATACAGAAACGTCATGGTCTGCTGTGTGGAATATTTGAAGGATGGGAGCTCCACAGCAGAGTGTGGAGCCTGGGAAACCACAGCAAGCAAGGCACGATGGTGCCTGAGACAAGGGTGGTGACTGTGGACAGGGTGGGGTTTATTTGAAAGTTCCTGAGGAACTTGGGAATGGGAGTGATGGTTGGGATGGGAAGCAAGTAATGGATCTGGAGTCCAGGAGAGGAGGCGTATTCTGCTGCTGACCCACAAAAGCAGAACAATGAAAGTTATAACCATCTTTGCGTCTGCCTCAAAGAGTGTGGTATGACTCTGCACCTTCTTCTGCTTGTCCAGGGAGTTCGAGAGCCTGTACATGAGCCACGTCTGGATCCCCAGCAGCCAGTGCTCACCTACCAGTGGCCTGGCGTGTGACATCACTGATGATGTCATCGCCACAGTACCATATAACTTCAGGGTCAGGGCCACGCTGGGCTCACGGACTTCAGCCTGGAGCACCTTGGAGCACCCCTTTAATCGAAACTCAAGTAAGGCACTTCCCATCTCACCCTTGCAGGAACTATCTTAGATGTTCAGCATCAAATTAATTGGTGTACTTATAAACACAAACCACCCTTACTAACATGTTTGTAAAACTGCTGACTCATTCATGTGCTGTCTTTGTCCTTCCCCATTCTGGAAGTCATCCATGGCCACCCTTGTTAGGGTCTACAGGTATTGAAGTTGTAGAATTGGCACTAGGATTCTTACTCTGATCACACCTCGGTATATCTCTCCCATCTGGAGCCTCGTTAACCCCATACAGCTGAAAACAGCTTGGTTGTTTAAAAACATCTGTACATTTAACAGCTACCAGAAATATTTCCTCTCTGTGGTTACTGGCAAATAATTTTTCTATTGCAATTATAATTGGAAAGTGATGGGAAGGGAAGTGAAGAATCCAGGTAAGTGGACAAATGTGGCTGAGTACAGCCGTGGCTTAGAGTGAAAAGGGTGTGTGGGTGTGGAATAAAGTGAGAGCTGGATGGGCAGTGGTGTAGAGAAGCCGCTCGCCCTATAGCTTGATCAAGTCAGTAGACGAAGGCAATGGAAGAAGAAAGTGTCCGGGCTGTGTCTTTCTTACAGAGCAAACACTATGTGGCCACCTCAAGGAGAGTGACCCAGAGTTGGGTAAGGCTGCAGGGCAGAGGGACAAAGACAAGGGAATTATTACCCTTAGCAAAGCCAAGATGGGTTCTGGTCTATAGAATAGCAGAGTAGATGGGGTATGTGTGTGCTGGCTAGTCTTAATGTCAACTTGATACAAGCTAGAGTTCTCTGAACGGAGGGAACCTCAATTGAGAAAATGCCTTCATAAGATTTGCTGTAAGTCATTTTCTTGATTGGTGATTGACTGGGGAGGGCCCACCTATTGTGGGTGGTGCTACCCCTGGGTTGTTTGTCCTGGGTTCTATAAGAAAGCAGGCTGAGCAAGCCATGGGAAGCAAGCAAGTAAGCGGGGTACCCTTCCTGCCTCCTGGTTCCAGTCCTGCTTGAGTTTCTGTCCTGACTTCCTTTAGTGATGAACAGTGATGTGGAAGTATAAGCTAAATAAACCCTTTCCTCCCCAAGTTGCTTTTTGGTTATGGAGTGTCATTGCAGCAATAGAAACCCTAACAAAGACAGGGGTGTGGATGAATTCAGGAGACATGGCTGCATTTAAAATGGACAGAGCTTGGGGGCCAGTTACTGGGGATGGAGTAGGAAAACAGAATTTAGCTTCTTACCTGAATGGGTGTGAATGCTGTCCAAGGTGGAGAACCCGACAGGAAACACTCTTGTCTGTGTGCTTTTGGAGCTCAGCTTTCTGCAAATGGCATGCTGTGGATGTTTGACTGGCAGCTGGAGATCAGGCCTTGGAACTCTTGGAGTTGAAAGCAAACACACAACTCAAGGTACTAGCTATACACCTGGAAATAGATGTGAATGTCCAGGAACAAGGTATGGAGAATGAAGAGATCCAGGACAGGGTCCCCAGGGCCCCAGAAACCTCAAGGTCTAAAATGTAGACAGAGAAAGCCGTGAGGAGATGGCTGGGTAGGTAAAGCTCCTGATAGGCTTAGGGGTTCCCTGGGTGGTGCTTGAGAAAGTGACTGTGGTTGCAACGGCCACACATAAGAGGACAGAGTGGAGGTGGAAAGGGGCAGTTCCTTGTCTAAGGTGTGACACGGGGGATGCCAGGAGTTTGGTGCTGGGGAAGGGCAGGGCCCTCAGTGGCCCATTTTCTTCATATGACAGATGTGCTTGAAGTGAGGGCTCAGGAACGTAAGGTCACAATATCCGGTAATGGGGCAAGTCAAGTCAAGTTACTGAGGACAGAGGATGCTGAGTGAAGGTCAGGAGGGTTTAGATAGTGAGGGATCCCAAATTGAACCTGAGGAAATTTGAGGGCTAATTCAAATCCAGCTTGGAACTTGAGAGCTGTGTAAGTGAAACATTTTGCTTCATGAAGTGAAACGTGTGGATGCTCAACACAGTCTAGTCTTATCACAGCACTCAGCTTTTGTAGATATTAGTATGGTTGCCCTGGGGATGCCAGGGAGCAGAGGAGGAGCCCAGGACTGTTGGAACTGGGTGCCAAGGAAGTTTTAGTTACAAAATGTGGGCTTCTCTGCTAGGTATCTTGTCCAGGCACTGGAAGACATGTTGAAGTGGCAGAACCCAGTGCAGGCACCTGGAGGTTCCGGGCGCTGGCAGACAGTGCAGCTTAACCCAGTGCAGGCACCTGGAGGCTTCCAGGCTCTGGCGGACACTGCGGCTCTTCCTCTGCCCACAGAGTTCAGGCAGCACCCAGCACTACTTCCTCTGACACCTGGGAGCCTGGGCTCCAGCCAAGAACTTCACTGGAGTCTGGCAACTCATGCTGGAAGGAAGGCCAGGTCAGATGGAGATCAGGGAGTGCCAACAGTTATTTGGGAGGGGCTGGGCAGGAAAACTTGTGCTTCTCAAGAGGCCAGCATAAACAGGAAAAGGTCTGGCTGCAGGGGAATCTGAGGGATAGGAGTTTGCTGGTGCTGAAGAGGACAGAACCTCTCTCAAGAATCCTGTGGATGTTATGTGCAGTGGAGTAAGCAACCTAGCTGGAATGGCTCTGTCTGGATTACCCCCCACACACACACACACACCTTGATCTTTCAAGACAGGGTTTCTGTGTGCAGCCCTGGCTGTCCTGGAACTCACTCTGTAGACCAGGCTGGTCTCGAACTCATAGACATCTGCCTGTCTCTGACTTCCAAATGCTGGGGTTAAAGGTGTGGGTCACCAATCCCTGGCTAGCACCGAATTTCTTAAGAGCACTCCACCTGCCCTTTCCATTTGAGAGGGCCACTCTGACTTCTGTGACCCTTGAAAAAAATGTGTCTTAATATTCTCCCATAGAGCTCTCCTGTTCTTAAGCTTTCTGAAGGCAGACATTCTTAACTTTAATTTCATGTTATAATCATACGGAGCTTCAAGGCCACCTGTCTGGGGCCCTTCCAGGGGTGTCTGATTTAAATGATGTGTTGTCATGCAGCCAGAGTTGTGACTCTCCACTGCAGCGGATGAACCCCTCACACAGGGGAGGCTGGAAATGTAAACTGACACGGGCTTCAATTCTGGCTGCCAGCTCTGTGACTCTAGGCAACTCCCTTAACAATCTTTGTGCCACAGGAGTAAGATTTGCCTTCTGAAGTTTCTGGGTGGATCAAGAGAGAGAAGTATAGAGTGTGTAGGGCAGAGGTTTCTGCCCTAGTGCTGAATGAAGAAAAAGAAAAGAAAGAAAAATGAAAATTCTCTAAACTGAAATTTCAGGTCATTTTGTCTGTCAAAAAGATGACAACTGGACGCTCAAATTCCAAAAACACGCGACTTAAAAATGGAGAAGGTGGGCCTTCTCAGTCTGCAGGTAACACAGAGGCAGTGCTGCGGTGTCTGGAGTAGCTACGTTTGCACAGGTGGCCTGACATCCCAAGTTCTCTTGCCCTTTCCAGGGACAGCTCGCCAAACCCAGGGGTATTTTCTCCAGTGAGGATGGCAAGGGGAAAATACTTTGCTCTCTGAATGTCCTACCTAGAAACTGCCCCCTTTTTTCACATCCCTTGGCCCCCATGCAGAGGGATTTAGCCCATGATGTGTCCCATCCAACTTCCCAAGTCAATATCAACCATCACACTGGCCCTTCTGGTCCTGCAATTTCTAGATTGATATCGGGGGACGGGGGCTTTCTTTTCTTGGCCTCTTGGTGGGTAAGTGTCCCCAGGGGCTGCCAGCCTCCCTGTTTGGAAACCTGCAAAGTGAAGGCGAATGGTGTTTGTCACTTCTAGGACTGGTTTACCTGAATGTGTAAGAAGCTTCTGACTCGCTGATAGTTGTTATGTGGCGTGAAGAATGCTAGGACCAAGAATTGAAGGGCCAAGCCTGATGTGCTGATGTCTCAAGGCACCAGATGTCAGTATTCGCTAATGCTTGATGTGAGCAATAGGGATGCCAGGAGGTCCATTCCCAAGGGACAAAGACCAGGCCAGCTGTGCCCATGCCCAGCAGAGTTCAGAGTTAGGCAGATGTTCAGCAAGCATTAATGAGCAGCATCTGATCACTGGATGAGTCAAGGTGAAGAGCAGTGAAATAGGGCAGTGGGGAGAGGAGACTGAGCATGTGCCAAACAGGAGAGTGATGTTTACCTGAGCCTTCATCCCTTCCCTTGATCCTGTGCTCCTGGAGAAGGGACAGATGACTTTGGAATAAAAAATGAGTGGTAGTAGGTCTTTGCGGTTTGTTTTCTACTCGGTCATCATTCAAAAAGCATTTCATGAAGACTACCAAGATGGCTCAGCCTACAAAGGCACTTGCTGCCAAGTGTGATGACCTGAGTTCAATTCCCAGGACCTACCTGGTGGAAAGAGAGAAACAGCCTCTATGTTTTACAGACAGGTGTGTGCATGTGTGCATGTGCATGCATACACACAATTTTTGAAAAGGTATTTTAATAAAAGTAGAGTTTAAAAAGAATTTCATGAGCATCCATGGAGTGTAGGAGAGTGCTTATGTACAGGATTCCACCACTAGAACAGCTCAGTAGACCCCCTCCCTTGCCCATAGGGCTGCTATGTGTCTGCTGATGGCTTAGTCATTTTACAACAAGAAAATCCGTTCTGGTCAGAGCTGGCTTTGATTCTCTCTTTCTCGTGTCAACAGCTGTCCTCACTGCACCCAGGATGGAGGTGACTGAACATGGCTTGCATCTGGTTATTAAGCTGGAAGACCTGGGGCCCCAGTTTGAGTTCCGTGTGGTGTACTGGAGGAGGGAGCCTGGTACCATGGTGAGGCTTCCCACTGACCTTGGCCTTTGAGTCAGGCCTCAGAGGAGCACCTTTCCGGGGATGAGGGAGTCAAGTCTGGGGCTTTGGAGTACTCATGGCATAAGTGGCCCAATCTGGGTGAAGTGTTAAAAGGGAGAGATGAGAGAACTCTTCCTTGACTCCTTCCTCAAAGATCTAACCTCTAACCTTTGTTCATCCTAGGCCTTGGCCAGGACACGTGAGCCCTTTTCAGGCCAAATCTTCTGAAGTCTGGGGAGCTGCTTCCGTTTAATGCCCCACCTCTCTGGACCCCCAATGCCTTTTTGATACTGCCTTTTTCTCCTCCTCCTCCTCCTCCTCCTCCTCCTTCTTCTTCGTCCTCGTCCTCCTCCTCCTCTTCTTCTTCTTCGTCCTTGTCCTCTTCCTCCTCGTCCTCCTTCTCCTCCTCCCTCATCAGCTAGTCTCAGACACTCAGGTGCAGCAGACCAGGATGTTCCAGCTCAGGGTGTTCCGGATTTCAAATGCACAGAAGGCAGGCACAAACTTCTTGAGGGTGTGTGTCTTGGCAGAGTACAGAGTGGGGCGTTGAGCCAGGAACTGGCTTATGAATAAGCCTATCTAATTCTGATCGGGTGGGTCGTGCAGAAGGCCTGGAAGGGAGCTGCCCTTCCCCATGGGAAGGTTGTTGGAGTCTGGGGTGAGTGGGAGGCGGGCCCTCATGGAAGAATAGTCAGATAAACCACAGCAGCAGCAGCAGCAGCAACGGGGTAAAGCTCTAGCAGACACAGGGGACACCACTTCCTGTGTGGTCTTGTTTAAGCTGATATTGTGACAAGGTCTAGCAGCCCACTCCAGTTGACACAGGGAAAGCTAGCTTTCTCAGAAGGATCAATATGGGCAACAGAGGCTCTCTCCAAATGTGTGAGCAGAGCCATCCCAGGACCAGGCAGAGGTACAGTCTTAACTGCTTGGGGACCGTGGCCGTGGGAGCCTTGCCGTTCTCTCACTAAAGGTCTTGCTGTTGCCTCTCACCTTCACTTCCAACACATGCCCATGACTGTGCCTCCCTGAAGGTATCTCAGAGGGGGCCCTCCTCACACAGTCTTCTCCTATCCAGCTTGAGGTGTCCCGTTTCCCGCGTCCAAATCCTCCGGGGGTGAATCCCATTGCTTGTACTCATCGTTCTAAGCGGTGTGGGTTTCAGACAGCCAGCTGAGATCTCTGGGTACCCTTCTCAGGCTGGGGTACTCAGTGTCACAGAGCAATGTCTGGGGGCTGTGCGCATGTTCCTGTGAACCCTCGGTTGAGTGGATAGTGACCCTTGGAACATGGTGTGGGCAGGTGGGACAGGCTCTTGGCCAGTATTGACCCTGCTGAGACCCTGCGTTGCCAGCCAGGCAGATGGAACAGGGTGGGAGAAAGGCTGGAGCTTGGCAGGAGGGAGCATGGATCAACTTCACATTCTTTGGGGGCGGAGCCTCTTCCGCACCCTTGTAACTGGGAGGCTCATTGCTGAGTGTTCATCCTGAGTCATCTGGGCTTGGTCACACAAGCTTCTACAGGTTCCTCTACAGTCCTGGGGCTTAGAGTGGGCATTGAAGGGTAGATAGACAAGTGGATGGGCTCCGCTCAGATGTCACCCCGCAGGAGAGGCTGTTTGTGAACCTCTGCTTAGCCTCGTTCCTCCTCAACACTCTCTTTGCCTTGCTCTGCTTTCTCTTCACAGCCCTAATCACTACATGGAATCGCACTTACGTAATCTTTCTCTCCCTCATGCAAGCTCCCATGCTGGGTGCCTATGTCCATAGTACAGGGTTAATAAATACGAGTGAGTGGATGAATGAGGAAATGAATGTATCCATGTACGAATGAGAAGGGATGTTAAAAGGACTATGCACTTTTCCCTGCCCGGCTCTGCTGCCTTTAGATAGTAACTGTATTTTGGTTTCTTAAAGGAGCACATTAAAGTGGTGAAGAATGGGGACATTCCAGTGCACCTGGAGACCATGGAACCAGGGGCCGTGTACTGTGTGAAGGCGCAGGCGCTGGTGAAATTGATTGGGAGGCACAGTGCCTTCAGCCAGACTCAGTGTGTGGAGATGCCAGGTAAGGATAACTGCTTGCCCCTGGGTCCTGGCACTTGACAGGCCTACCAATGGTTCCAGGTCTTTCCCTGGCTTTACACATTTGCTTCCAGGTTTGGTGGGTTCTGAGGTAAATTCTAGTTCTCCCCAGGGGTAGGAGCCCACCCTGGGGGCTGGGTGGAATTTCTTGAGCAGTTGCCTGAAGCACTTTCTCCTAAAGCATCCTCCTCCTGGGCACATGTTATAGGACCAGCTTGCAGAGGCTATTCCCTGGAGGGTGGGGGGTGGGCAGAGATGTCTGTAGGAGAGAGAGTTAGACCTGGCACCACACTGTGTGACAATATCACAGCTTCCTCCGTCTGGAAAGGATCTTACAGTTTATAGAATCTTTTTGACTAAAAAATTTTTCATTCAATTAAAAATGATTAAAAATTTGTGTGTGTACATGTATACATGTACTTATGCACATGTGGGTATCAAGGACAGACACTGATATTAGTCATTTTTCTCTATTCCTACCCATGTTATTTTATGAGACAGCCTCTCTCCCTGAGCCCACAGCTTACTGACTGACCTACTGGCTGGCTAGCAAGCTCCACGGACTCCCAAGCACCAGAGTCACAGGTGTACATAACCACTCCTGGCTTTTATGTGGGTGCTGTGGACCCGAACCCAGGTCTTCATGCTTGTATGCCAGGCACTTTACTGACTGGGACATCTCCCTAGACCTTTTATTTAAATCTTTTTATGGTCTAAAGAAACCTACAGTTATTAAAAACTCTTTGAAAAGAAACAAAATCTTACATCATATGATCCCACCATGCTAACACCACTAGTTACTTTTCAGCGTGACGTCTTAGACTTAAAACAAAATTACTATTAAGAATAAAGAGTCTATTCGTATGGCCCATAACACACAATATGCATATAAATTATCTCCTCTGTCTTCTCCATTCACATGGTTCCTGCATCTCTTCCCTTCAGTGTGAGTTTCTTATATCTTCTTCTGGAGACTTTTTAACTCATATACATGCAAATGAGGACATGTATATGCAAGCATGTACCTAAATATCATCTTTTAAGCAAAGGTAATACCATATGCACTATTCTGAATCTTGTTTTTATATACCTTGTAGATATTTCCAAATGATAAATCCCATCATTACTTCTTTATTACCAAATACAATTCCATTTGTGAGTATGTGTGTGTTGGCTAATTTAACTGATCTGTATTGATTGTATTGATGGGATTAGATTCCCCCCATACTTTGCTATTGCAATTAATGCATTCAATTCCTTGTGTATAGACCACTTTTGCTGATTATATATATATATATACACATACACACACACACACACACACACACACACACACACACACACGTATATTTATTTAATTGATAAATTCCTGGAAGTAAAGTAGCTTTGTCAAAAGACACACATTTAACTTTGACACTGTTGTAAAATTGCCCTCCATAAAATTGTGACCCTTTCAGTTGTTACCCATGTGAAGACACCCAGTAGCTCTATGTGACATACATGTTATACCTGGTTTGTTCATTTTTTTTTTCTTCACAAATACACTCGTAACATTTTCTGTGAACACTTTCTGAGTAACATTTCTTGGTGCTTAAAAAAAAACTTACATGCCAAGCTTATGAAAAATCCAAATAATACAGATCTATAAAAAATAGGCGTTAAATATGCTGTCCTCCTCCGTGTTGCTCAAGAGAATTGCTGTTACAGTTTGGATGTAGAATGTCCTCCGTGGGCTCAAGTGTTTCAACTGTTGTCACTGGCTGGTGGCACTATTTGGGAGGATGGAGAACCTTTGGGAGGTGGGTCTAGCTGGAGAAAGTGTATCTCAGGGAGGTTTAAAACTCAACCCACTTCCTGTCCTGTTTTCCTGAGCCATAGGGACGTTCCTGGGGCCACAAGAGAGAAAATAAACTTTTCCTTTGGTTACTGCTTATCAGCAATTTGGTCACAGCATCAGATATGTTTCTGCTGGCAAATCCTTGGTTTCTCCTTCCACGGTTGTCTGTGGCATCCAGTGCCTCCTCAGGACAGGGACCCAAGTGTTTTCACTCTTCACCTGGCTCAGCTACACTTTGTAGCACACTGTAGCCAGCTCATAGTGTCGGTGGTGTGCTCTGCCTTACTTTCCCCCTCTTTGAGACAGGGTCTTACTATGGATTCCTGGCCACCCCGAAACTTATTCTGTAGAGCAGGCTGACCTTGAACTCAGAGACCCACCTGTTTCTGCCTCCCATGTGCTTAGATTAAAGGTGTGTGTCACTATCCCAACTTGCCATTACTTTTTAAAGACACACAGTAAGCCAAAGTATACAAGTATATCCTTACTGATGGCAACTCTGTATACTTTCCAAGCTTTCTCCATTATTGGTCAAACTGTGATATGCCTACCCCATTTCTCCTTTTGATAGCTGAACTGCCAACCAACCATGCCAATGTTCCATAACATCTTAGATCAGTCTCTTTTGTCTGGCATTTAAATCACTCCTGTTCTCTCTCCAAGATGTGGTTCTTCCTTTTATTAAATAAGGGTTTGCAGAGCACTGACTACCTGCCAAGTCCTAGCCTGCCCACTGGGGCGAGAAGGGAGTCCCTGCCTCCCACTGTGCAAATGAACAGAAAGCTAATGAGTGTGTGTGGGTGTGCTGTGAGGAGAGTCACAGCACACAGGGATGCACGAGTGGCAGTGGACCACTGGGCAGGTGATTGGTGACAGCCTGTGGCTCTTGTCGGGACATTCCTGTGAACTGACAGATGCACACACTTATTTCCTTCCTTGGGATGATTGTCTGAAACAGACATCACAAGAGTGGATTGGAAGGTATCAATATTGTTCATCTCTTGACGTCTACTACCAAAATATTGCCTCAAAGTGAAACAATGCACAGGCCCCACCCCACATGCTACAGACAGACACATGGGCCAAGTCACCCCTAACATTGTATGTGAACGGTCTAGGCAGGAAGTGATAAACGGTTGTAAGTGGTTAGATAAAACAGAAAGGAGGAAAACTAGCTGGTCCCCTCCTCTGCATCTCCAGATACTCAGACCTGGTGCTTTCTTTCTATATTTGTTAGCAAATTCATCATGGACTTTGGAGGTAGTCCTAACTGTTCCTCCTGGGGTAGGCCATTAACCTATCTTGAGCATAAATAACATCATCTTCTATGAAAAGGATGCTCACTGTTAGGGACATGGGCCTAGACCTTAGCAGAATGCTGGGAAACAGAAGCAGGCCAAACATGTAACAGGGACTCGATCTGTCATTTTGGGCACTTAATATTTTCCTCCATCATAGGAGTCAATGCCAAGAGCAAATTGTGAAACACTTTGTTTTTGGTTTCCGCCCAGCCCTGTTCTGGGCTGTTCTGCTCCAACACCTCCCCCTCATCCTGCCTGGGGCCTGGCAGCCTGCCTTCCTCTTGCAATAGTGCCAGGTACATGCTACCCTGGGCAATGCCTTACATTCCTCCCTCCCCTTCCCATGATAGAGATGGTAATCTTCTCTGAGGTTTTCTGGAAAACCATACTTTGATTGGGATTCTAGGAGAATGGTGGTAACGGCAGCCATTTGGAGGACACACCAAATCTCAGGGTGCTGGCACCTTGGCCTGGGTGCAACTCTGAGAAACCCTGGTGGTCCCCTCCCCTTCTGTCCCCAAGCCTTCTCCTATGCTTCGTTCGCAGAAGAGTCTCTTCCGCTGGCACTGGCTTTGTTCGCATTTGTTGGCTTCTTGCTGATTCTCATGGTTGTACTACTCTCCATCTGGAAGACGGGCCAGCTCCTCCGGTACTCCTGCTGCCCCGCTGTAGTCCTCCCAGACACCTTGGTAAGAACATTCTACCTTTCGGTGTGACACTGCCCAGAGGCATCATGGGCCTTAGCTAGGCACAGGCACAGTTTTCGTGGTTTATAAAGATAGGCAGAGAGAGAGAAAGTGCTAATGGAGCGTTACTTGTGTTAGTGAATACCACAGACTAGGTAATTTATAGAGAATAGAAGTTCATTGGCTTCTGGAGGCTGGGGGTGGTGGTGCTGGAATGAAGGTTGAAGGGCCTTATGGGTAAAGGTGTGCTTGCCCTTACACCATGGCTAAAGGTGTCACCAAAGTGAGAACAAGTTATCAAACATGCAGCCTTAAGGCCTTATAACCCACATTCGAGAAGCCGAGGTCTTTACGTCCTCTTCACATACCACAGTTCCTCCCCCAATGCTTTTGCACTGGGGATTTGTTTCCAGCATGTGGTTTTTGGGGGATATGCTTAGGTCACAGTAACCCCTGATCGGAAGGTCTGGGCGTGTCCTCCCTTTTCCGGGGTATAGTGACCTCTCTAAGGCTCTGGCACGCCATTCTGCTTTCTCACAGCACCTGGCATTAACAAGAGGGTGGCTGTTTTGCTCAGTGCTTGGTGATGAGCGCTGCGGTCTTGTCTTCCAAAGTGCCTTCTGAGCTCTCTCAGCTCCTCTAATTGTAAGGGAAGCTACAGCCAGGAGCAGGTTCTGACTCCACATACTCAGTATACCAAGAGTCTCATGCCTCCAGGTTTAAGATCATGAAGTGTGGGATGTTTTGCCTTGGTTAGGCGTGAAGTAGGCAAGGGCAACGGTGTGGACCTTCATAGTGACTGCTCAACGAGCTGTCTTCCCAGTGTTCCCACCCGCCAAACCCACGATGCTTCTCTTACTCTTGAAATTGGACCACGACTCTGAGCCTTAGTGTGTGTAGGCCCTGCGCGCCTGTGCCTTGGACCAGGAAGAGCAGGGCAGGCCCCAGCAGCTCACACATGTTTCACCTGTACCCTTCAGAGACCCCCCCCCCCATCTCAACCACAACACAATCAAAGAAAGAGCAAACAGGAACCAGAGCGATCCCCTCCATCCCTGTCACCCTAAGGGTGTCACAGTTCTCTTCTGGTGGGGAGTTAGCAGTCATTTGCTCTAGAACAAGCAGAACCAGATCTGTTTGCAGTCAACATACTGCTGGAGTTCCTTAACAGTCTGAAGTTACAATGAAGCCACTCTTTAACACCTCTGTGGTTTGCTTTTGCCTCTCTCTCTCTCTCTCTCTCTCTCTCTCTCTCTCTCTCTCTCTCTGGTTTGTTTTTTGTTTGTGTTTTTGTTTTTTTGAGACAGGGTTTCTCTGTGTTTCTTTGGAGCCTGTCCTTGAACTAGCTCTGTAGACCAGGCTAGCCTCAAACTCACAGAGATCCTCGTGCCTCTGCCACCCAAGTGCTTGGATTAAAGGTGTGCGCCACCAACGCCGGCTTGCCTCTCCCTTTAACCCAGTCTTTAGGATGCCCTACCACCCTTTTGACCTATAATGCCAGCTCTCCAATCTCTGATACTTCCAAGTAAACACAACAGTGTTAGCCAACAGTAGCACAGAGTTAAGTGCCAGGGCTGTGGTAACTATGTTACCACATGTGTTACTATGTGTTACTATGTTATCTCAGTTCACCGGGGTTTGTCTGACTTCTGTAGTAGTCTTACTAATAGACTGAGAGAAGGGTGCAAAGAACCTAACTATGAATGCAGGTACATCTGTTTCTTTCTTTGTGCCAACTTTCCATATTTTTTTCTTTTTCTTTGTTTTGAGACAGGGTCTCTCTCCATAGCTCTGGCTGCCCTGGAACTCTCTCTGTAGACCAGGCTGGCCTCAAACTCACAGAGATCCTCCTGCCTCTGCCTCTCAAGTGTGGGGTAGAAGGTGTGTGCCACTGCCACCCAGCTTTTGAGGTGTTCTTTTAAGGCCACACACATTTATGATTGCTTGATCTTCCTAAGTAAGCCTTTTAGCATCATGATGTGTTTCTTTTTATCTCTGGTGATATTCAGTTCTTTTTGCTCATGGCTTATATGCTCTATCCTTTACAAACGTATCTATGTACATGTTTAAAGACAGTTGCTTTGGTTTCCTGTTTTGACTTATTTTGTGTGTGTGTAAGTCACTTCTGATAATCTCTGCCTTTTAAAAATGGCATGTTTAGTCCATTATATGTAATACAATGATTGATATAGTTGTATATTGGTTCATAATTTTATTTTCAGTTCCAGTTCCTGCTTTTGTTCTGTTTTTTCTTTCTTTTTCTTTTAGGGTTCATTAAGTATGTTAGGATATATATATATACATATATATATGTATATATATATATAATTATAATTTCCTTTTTCTTTCTTTTCTTTCTTTCTTTTTTTTGTGTGTATTTTGAGGCTGGCTCTGGCCTCATTATATACTCAAGGATAACCTTGAGCCTCCCACCTCTGCCTGCTGAGTGCTGCTTTATGTGGCACTCAAGATTGAACCCAGGGTCACTTTATATTCTAGGCAAGTACTTTACCAACCCAGTCCCAAGTATATATGTTTTAAAATTCTTTTTTATATACTTTTTGGGTTATTCTTCACATTGGTTTTTCATGGTTGTTATAAAGATTACTGTATACATGCCCGTCACATTTTTAAATGCTTCATTTACGCTTATTTTATGTGTGTATGTATCTGTCGGCACACCATGTGCATGCAGTACCCACAGAGGCCAGAAGAGGGCATCAGATCCCCTGCAGCTGGGGTTACAGGCAACTCTTAGCAAAAAGCATTTAACTGGGGGCTTGATTACAGTTTTAGAGGGAGAGAGAGAGAGGGGGTGGGGAGAGAGAGTTAGAGACAGACACACAGAGGGAGACAGAGACCCAGAGATACAGAGACACAATGAGAGAGACAGCAGAGACACAGAGACTGGGTCTGATGTGGACTTTTGAAACCCCAAAGCTCACTCCCAGCAACACTCTTCCTCCAACAAAGCCACACACACCTGCTGATTTTTTTTTTTTTTCAAGACAGGGTTTCTTTGTATAGCTCTGGCTGGCTGTTCTGGAACTCACTCTGTAGACCAGACCGACCTTGAACTCACAGAGGTCCACCTGCCTCTGCCTCCCCGGTGCTGGGATTAAAGGCGTGTGCCACCCCCCACCCCCACCTGCTGATTCTTCCCCGACAGTTCATCAACTGGGGAGCAAGCATTCAAACACATGAGCCTATGGGAGCCATTCTCATTCAAACCACTACAGAGAGAAGGGGTGGGGGCAGGGAACAAGAGATATCTATCCAGGGAAAGTTCTTAGTAACCTACTTCTTCTAATGGAGCCCTACCTCTTTTTCATGGGATTATACTATTGCTCTAATCACTTGCCCAGAACCCCACAGTACCAATGGGATGCTTCAGATTCAAGCCATAGCAGACTAGTTAGTAATGGACTGTTTGCAAAGTTGTTCTCTGTATGTTTAAAATCAGCTATGGTCATGCCCTGGGATCTCTGGGAGAAACTATAGGAGTGTGATACAGGAATAGGAAAAAGCCTGCAATGGTGATCCTGTCTGGACTGAGCACTGGGATAGATACCCTCCTAAAGTGTCACACAGCATGTTCTTTGTTAGGAGAAGTTTTTCCCACCATCCTGGTCCCACAGCCATGTCAGCCCCAAATAACACACAGAGATGCTGTATTAGATATAAAGCTGTTGGCCTGTTGCTAGCGTTTCTTATTGGCTAGCTCTGCCTTAAATATTAACCCGTTTCTATGAATCTGTGTGTTTCCATTTGGTCTCATCTTACCAGAGAGAGGGTCCAGACCTCTTGCTTCTCCCATGGCCTACATCTTGACTCTTTTTTACTACCACTCTCAGAATCCTCCTAGTTTCCTAGTCCCACCTACCTTGCTTTCCTATTGGCCAACAGGGCTTTATTCATTAACCAATAAGAGAAACATTTGCAGAATGACCTCTCCCATCAGTCCTTCTCAGAGCTCTCGGGTGTAAAAGGGTGAGCACCCCACTCCCAGAATTATATATGAGTTTTTGTGGGATTGGTTCTCACAGAAAAGCACTGACTCAGCAGGCCCATGTGGGAATTGCTAGATAGAGAGCCAGGAGAAGATCTCAGCAGATGCTGGAGCCCTAACCTAGGGCCTTGGGTTGTCCTGGAGGGTTTTGCTACTTGAAAGTTAACTAAGGCTGGGGAGATGGTTCAGCGGTTAAAGTTCTTGGCACACAAGCACCCAATGTAAGGATCGGAGTTCGGATCCTCAGAACCTACCATAAATGCCGAGAGAGGGATCAAGGAAAACTCCCAGTGCCTGCACAGGTGAGCACATGTACCCACCTACACACATGAGAGAACACACACACACACACACACACACACACACACCAGTTAAATAGTTGGGATTTCTGTGATATTCTCTGTTACTACAGTACTAATGAATGCTTTTTGTGAAAACGAATATTTAGAAAATCACCAGTTCATCCCAGGAGCTGATCACCTGCAGTAAGGAGGATGTGGATGCCTGTGCTGTGGCTGTGCTGGCCTCAGAGCATCTCTTTGGGGTTTGGATCTCAGACTGGAGGAAGGGCCTGATGGATTAACAACCTGCTCTGCAGGCTCCAGACCCCACGATGGGAGGCTCCTCTTTCTGTTTTCTTCCGGGGACAAAAGACAAGAGAAGCAAAGAGAGCCTGCTATGTGCATGTCCAGTGACAACCAGCAGTGGTGTGGCCAGCAGACAGCAATGATGAAGAGAGTTGACCCAAGACCTGCAGTTACCACATGCTCACTGAATGACACTGGGGGAAATGGCTTTGTCCCTCTGGACCCCAGCTCTGTCGCCTGTAGTGGGGATTAACCACACTATTTAAAGGTCTCTGTATACACACTAGCAGTTGAAGGGCAGCAGGGACACCAGTGGGACCATGCACCACAGGGAATTCAGATCTTGTGAACTGTGGGGTACACATGTGTACTAAGAATGATCTGGAAGCATGTCTGTAATCTCCATGCTTGAGAGGAGGGGGTAAGAAAATCACAAGTTTGAGGCAGCCTGGACTACAGAGTGAAACTCTGTCTCAAATAAATGACAGATGTCAAAGAGTAAAGTAATAGAGCTCCTGTATCAAAACCAAACACAAACCACGGTGGGTTTGGATTTCCCACTTTCCCAGAGGAAATCTTGAGGGAAGGAAGAAATGGAGGCCATTTCATTTCCTGGCTGAAGTGACGGTTAGCAGGCTCTGCTGAGGGTGATGTGGAGGGTGGCCATAACCCCATCCATGATGGGACATGCATGGATGCTGCTGTGGGTTCATGAAATGCCATCAGATCCTAGGGCCTTGTCCACAGGAAATCCCATGAGCCCTCTTCCTGAGGACAGTTCCCTCAGGGTTTCTCTCGGATGATCATCAAGACCCCCTGACTAGAGGTAGTACCACTCCTTCCTACCTTCAGGCTGTTGGAGGATGATGCAGGGAGCAGCCTTCTTGTGGATTGAGGCCCTGCAGAGTCAGGCCCTCCCAGCTCTGGAACCTGGAGTTGGCTTGTCTCCGCCCCAACTTCCTGGGCTTCTCCAGCCAGCCAGGGGTGGAGTCAGGCCAACCGTTCTAACCAGGTGCTTCGTGGTCTGCAACACAGACTGAGGCCGGCAGCCCTATCTTCATCTTGGAGTCTCTAGGAGAAAGAGGGCAGCTCTCTGCAGGGATGTGGGCTGGGGCTCTCTGCCTTTGTACTGTTTTGTATACTTCTGCCTTGACTCTTATGTGAAGTGTGTTAGGTTTGTATTTCAACCCATCTGGAAACATACATGCTGTTTGCAAAATTAAAAAGCACACATCCTAACATTAGTCTTCACTTTTGTTCCTTTTTTTCTCTGCCTCTTCACCCCAGGGGTCTTGTTCCCCTGTCACCTGTCTGGGTTTACAATCAAGACATAACCACAGCCTTCCTCTGTCACAGTTTCTCCAGGGACTATGCCTGCTATTGCTGGCCTCTTTACCCCTCTCAGTAATTCTGTTGTCTTTGCATGTCCCCAACATGTGTTTATTGGATCCCACCCGAGCATCAGAAACCCAACTTGCTCCTGATCGGGGCCTACCTGCTCCTCAGAGTTGACCACTCTCCTGGAACCCCCTCTCCCCTCTACCCGTGTTGCAGTTTTAACAGCCAACTTGACACTATGTACAATAGGAAGAGTCTCAGAGAGGGACTGTCTGGATCAGGCGGGCCAGTGGCCATGTCCATGGGGCTGTCTTAATTATGTTAATTGATGTGAGATGACCCAGTCCACTGTAGGTAGTGCCATTCCCTGGGCTTGGTCCTGGCCCGTGTAAGAGTGGAGAAATCCAGCTAAGTACTAAATGCATCCATGCATTAATTTCTGTCTTCTCTTGACTGTGCATGGACTGTTTCTGACTCATTGACTTCCCCTCCCCCTGTGAACTGGGAGCCAAAATAAACCCTTTTTCCCCTGAGTTGCTGTTTGTCAGGATAGTTTATCACTGTGACAGAAACGAAACTAGGACAAACTGGTCCTTTAAGCTAGAGCATCTCAACTGGATAGGGACAGGAGTGTGTTTAGCAATTATCGCAAGGCAGGAGCTGTAGCTGGCACTCTAGGCAGACTGGAAACCTAGAGACAAGCTCAGCATAAATGCTGCTTCCTCTCCAGGGCCTGTCAGAGTCCCTGGACACTGGGGGGAAGAGGTCAGAAGGGAGTCATCTGCCTTCTGTTGTACCTGCGACCCTTGCTCACCTCAAAGCTTCCCATAGACCCAGGTTTTCTAGTCCTGCCTTCAGGGAACACTTGCCACCATCCAAAACCAAAAGCCTGCTCCCCTCCATGGAGCTTGCATCTTAATGGGCAGTGGGGAAGTGATTAAATAATAAACGAATGACAAACCATTATTATTAACTGAATTATTAGTATACTGAGAGTTGATTGGCCTTTCGGGAAAAATTAGGTAAAGAGCACAGGCTAGGGCTGGGGCAGGTAGCAGCCATCTCAAAATGAAAATGAGTGCAAACACCTGTGTTAGCTGTGTCCCCGTGTAGCCACATGGTGTGAGAGATTATGTGTGACTTGAGAGCACAGTAACTTGGCAACAGATCCTTAGGGTTGGGCCTGTCTAAAACCAAATGTATTCAGTGTTTGTACTGTTTCTATTGATAGTTCCTCAAAAAGCGATTTTCCTGAGCTATGAGATCAAGCAAACAGATAGTGTTTGTTCTGATAGGAACCTGGCTTTGGGGATCAGTGAACTGGAGGACTAATTGTAGACCTCAAACTTTGCATAAGAACAGTGTGTCGTTATAACCAAATCTTTGATGGCTAGTGGTGTGTTAACTTAACTCAAGCTAGGGACTTCTGAGAGGAGGGAACCTTGATTGAGAAGATGCCTTCCTAAGATTGGGCTGCAGGCAAGCCTGTAGGGTATTTCATTAATTAGTGATTGATGTGGGAGGGCCCAGCTCACTATGGATAGGATAGTCATCCCTGGGCTGGTCATCCTGGGTTCTATAAGAAAGGCCATGTGAGCAAGCCTCCTCCTGGCCTCCATGGCCTCTGAGTCAGCAACTGTCGTTAGGTTCCTGCCCTGATTTCCCTTTGTGAGGGGCTGGAAGTGAAAGCCAAATCAACCCTTTCCCATGTTACTTTTGGTCATGGTGTTTATAACAGTAAGATATCCTAATAAGACAAATTAAACAAGGTAACATGAAGCCATGTCTGTATAAAATGCACAAGTATTTTGAACCACCTGACGTTGCAAGTCGCACCATTTGAAACCCATAGGCAGATAATTTGGTGTTTTAAAAAAGAAAAAGTACTTGGCTTTTTCCTGCTCAAATGACAGGGTAGAAGTGCCACCCTTCACAGTGCATATTGATGACCCCATTTTGGTTCCCAATGTTGTCTTTTAAGAGTCAGTGCTTCTTAGAGCAATGACTGGTAGCATGTCTCAGAGCATGGCTGGTTCCATCTTAGAGCATGGCTAGTTTCATGTCTGGCCAGGGACGGAAAGGCACATGGGAATTTTAAGACATCTATGCCTTGTTCAGTTAGAAAACAGAGCTTTGAACAGTTTATCAGTCAAAACTTGACACAAGCAGTCTAAAGAGTTCCTATAGACCGAAGGTGAGACAGTGTGAGCACCCAAAGGAGAAAAGTCTAGTATCAATCGATACAGTCTATCTGAAATCACCAGTCTATAGTGATACCAAAAAGAAATTCCGACACACTGAACTGAGACTAAAGGCGCTGGCCCAGAAGATCCAGAGACCTGGGTTCCACCCACCCCGGGGAACCACAGAAAGGGACAAGGAGAGGACGGACACCACGCCACGACATTGTTGCCTGACATGCACAAAGTGGCAGAGACAAACACCCTCAACCATACACAATAAGTAAAACACTGAAAAGGAGCAACAGTGAGTATTTCTGCAGTGAACCTCTTAGGTCTCAGGAAGTGCCTATGTCCAGAAATGGCAGCCTTGGCTTAGCTCAAGCTGGCCTATAGGAGGATTTCTGGTGGTTAGAGAAAAGCCAGCACTCCTCAGGAACTTGTGAAGCTGGTGCTCCTCTGCCAAAAGGTGTCATTCCCCTTGCCCCTGGCAGAGGGGACATATGGCTCTCCATGGAATCATACCCATGGTTGAACACCAAAGTCTATGCTGGTCTCCAGGCTCTCTCAGTCCCTGCTCACATCTCAAAGCCCAGGACATCCTGACTGGTCCTACTCCTCCTCCACCACACCTCCTTCCAGGCTGCTGCAGTCTCCAGACTTCCTGTCTGGTTGTGGGTTAGCTCTGTATATAGCGCCCCCCACCACGTGCTATTCTCTACTATCCTTTTTTGCTATTCTGACTATTCTCCCTGCTTCTCTCTGCTCCTAAGCGATAACCTTGGCCACGTCCAGTCTGCTTCTTGTTGCCTCTGTCCTGGGCTCTTCCAGGTGCCTCTGGATGTTCTCCCTCTCTCTTATTCACAACAAAAACCTTCCCCTACTCATGGGGTGGCCGTTTCCGCGGCTTCCTTATTGTATCCTCACAGCTCTCATTTGTGTTGGGCTTATTGGCTCGCTCCTTTTTACTAGTGAAAAGTACCAGCATATGTAAGGATGTCAGTCACAAGACCTATTTCTCCACCACCAGTCCCTGGTTCCAGACACCGCCCATGCCGCTAACAGCTGAGATCTCTGGGCTCACCACTGCCTGTCTCCCACACTTTACTATCTCCTGGCGTGTCAAGGGGTTTCCTGGGAGACTTTTCATTTTATGGAGGAATTACAGATGGTATTTGGCCTCCGTGTTACGCCTCCCTATCTCTTTAAAATAGGCATCTGTCTTGTTTTCCGTGGGCCTGTTTTCTTTTTTGGCTGTCGTGACTTTTCTGCGGATGCAGATCTCTTTCCTTTGAATCTGGCCCTTTGAATCTTGCCGGAACTGATCGGGTAGTTCAATGCCACCGCCCACCAGGAGGGAGCGACTTCATTGTGTGCACGGGTGTCTGGTGCCACCTTGTGGTGAAATTCTGAAATATCCTCCTGTTCCCCCTAGAGATGACGCTCCCTGGGCTTCCTGCTTAGAGAATGGGGAAGGCTCAGGCTAGTTTTCCAGGAACCAGGAATCAATTGGAGAAAGTCCCCAGGCCTAGACCGGAACACAGCTCCATCGTCGCTTGCAGTTTAGCGGCCACCATGTCCTTGCTCTCCACCTCTAGGTTTCTGCATCTGTCTCACTCTGCAGCCACACGCTCGGATC